TCCTTTTCTTTTGAATACAGAGCTGGCTTACTCTGCGATGGCTGCTATCTGAAGTGGTTACTAGCCATAGACTTTATTGAGACTTATGGACATATAACACTGGACATTAGCCATTAGTGTGCTGAGATCTCTCCTTTAATTAAGGGCTTTTCTTCTGTCACCAACAGTGCTAGCCCTGTGTTTTCCCACTCACTGCTGTCACTTGTAAATACAGAAGCCCAACTTCTGCATTTAGAATTCAAAGTGCAACTCTCTGGGCAGCTGCACTGAACCCTCCCCACCCGGGTGAAGCTGGTGTGATGAGGGGAAGGGGGACAATGACATTGCTGGCACTGGGCATCCATCCAGGCATTTCCAGCTGGCACCCGAAGCATCTTTCCCACCAGCTGCCACATGTAACAGAGCAGAGGGAGCTTTCCCTAGGCTCCTCCTATCACAGACCATGAGAAGGAGCCTGGGAAAAAGAACATCTCCTGCCTGCATGGTGCCATGCTTTATCTGAGGTCTCTGTTGGGAGATATGGGGGAGGAGAAACAAAAGGATTTATGGTGGCACTTGTAGCTAGGATTGGGGGCTTGTGCTGACAGGGGAAGAGGCTTTATATTGGGATGGTGGATGACAGGGGCTTGTGCTAGAAGAGCAATGTCAATCCTGTCTAGGCTTAGGATTTGAGGGTGGGAGGCAATTTTTTTTTCCTGGGGGGGGTATTTTTAGTTTAAAGTAGCCAGTGCGAAATGCAGTTCTGAATTCTGCCTTTTGCATGCAGCACACACACATAAATCTGTATGTAGCACACTCCTAAACCCTGCACTCTGTATACTGCGCACATCTGATCTCCACACTCTGTACGTAGCACACTACTGATCTCTACACTCTGCACACCACGCACTCCTAAACCCTGCACTCTGTACACCATGCACTCCTAAAATCTGCATTCTGTACATTGCACACTCCTAAGCCCTGCACTGTGTACGCCATGCACTCCTAAACTCTGCATTCTGTACACACTGTGCACTCCTGATCTCTGCACTCTGTACATTGCACACTCCTAAACCCTGCACTCTGTACACTACACATTCCTAAACTCTGCACTCTGTACACCACGCACAGGATGAATTCATGCTTTCATGCTGTTTATGCCAACTTCTGACCTACCATCTGAATGTCGCAGCAACCATTCTGCCTATTGTCCTCTGACCTCTGACATCAACAAGGCATTTTCGTCCACACAAATACCGCTCACTGGATATTTTCTCTTTTTTTGGACCATTCTTTGTAAACCCTAAAGATGGTTGTGTGTGAAAATCCCAGTAGCTCAACAGTTTTTGAAATACTCAGACCAGCCCGTCTGGCACCAACAACCATGCCACATTCAAAGTCATTTAAATACCCTTCTTCCCCATTCTGATGCTTGGTTTGAACTTCAGCAAGTCATCTTCACCACACATACATGCCTAAATGCATTGAGTTGTTGCCATGTGATTGGCTGATTAGCAATTTGTGTTACCAAGCAATTGAACAGGTGTACCTAATAAATTGGCCGCTGAATGTATTGACAAATTTTGTCAAATATTTTTGTTAACAAAAATAACTACTGGGTGTTTTGCAGATCCCTTATGTGTGAATTCTGTGGAGTCCTATTCATTATGGAATGAATTTACAGCACATAATTATCACACTAAAGGAAACAATTACTGCTAGCACAAATCAAAGTTATTTTTCTCTGCTGTCCTATTCTTAAGAGATTCAATACATTATATTATTTTTTCCTATAAAAGCGATGGGTACTAAGATGCAAATCTGAGAAGTGAGAAATATAAGGTATATAAGAACACAGTTTTCATAAGGAAAAGAATGAAGGAAATAAATAAGACAAAGGACCAGAAATATTTTAAATACTGAATATTAGTTGTAATTGCACACTTTGGAAGAGGTTTTATATTATTGCTGTGTAATATAACACTATAGGTTGTAATATATCCATTGTACAACAATATTTATCTTGTTTTGTCCATTGAAATACTTAGAAAGAATAACTGCTACAATGCCAAGTGGGTTTTTGACTATTTCATATGTAAAAAAAGATTATTAAAGGACCTTGCAGTATACTTTTTTTATATATTACAATACCTATGCTTATCCTCAAGACTGTTAAGAATGAATGCAAAGCCAACCAAAGACAGATTGATATTCAGCCAGTTCAGCAGGAACTGACAACATTTCAATCCATCTATGGACCAGTCTGTTTGGTCTTATTCATGCAATCATTGCCCTTGGCTTTAGTTGCCAGCAGTGATCGTTGTATTCTGCTGGCGGGGAAGACAGAAAGCAATAGTACTGCAGGAGGGATTGACTGTGTTTGATGGGGGAATTGAGCAGTTTTCTCCTATGGTTGTAGGAAAGAAAACTGGCTAGCCTAAGTCATATACAGTAATGTTAAACAGATCACCCTGCACATTAATACAATTTTTGTTGTGTATCTTTTTAATCCTATGGCTTTTTATATACTGTAAATGTGTTCTACAAACTAAATTGGTTTCATCCTGGAAGCATAGGTGGGACATACAACTGTGATGGACTCCCAGCAGCTTGATGCCATCACAATAGTAAAGCCATAAGCAGATTTTAATTGTTCATAATTTGAACATATGAAAAAAAAAAGTAACAACACTTCCCCTTCATCAAGGCTTAGACAAAAGGAAAGAAGACTTCAACAGGCTTATAAAACCAGAGGAGTCTTAAGGGATCTATATTTTCTCTGGATCTTCTTTTTTAAGTCTATGGATATACACCACAACTGCCACTGACCACAGTGTATATCCATAGTCTTAAAGGGGGAATCAGAGCAAATATTGATCTCTTAATGCAGATTCCTTTGGCTTTAATGTAATGTCTGAGTCCTTTCAAGTCTTCATTCCTTTATTTTAGGTCCTGATGATAGGGAAGTGTTTGCTTCAAAATGTGATGGATGTTTTTATATGATCAAATAGGAACAATTAAAATCCTCTCCCTAAAGTGGTTGTAAACCTCACACATGAAATATTAACAAAGCATATTCCTCTATACTTGTCTCTATCCAGAACACTAAGTGTAATTTCTGTCTCTTGCTCAGTTCCTCTGCTATCAGCATGAGTCATTTCTGACAACATTTTTCTGACACCAAGAGAAAAATGGTGTCAGGGGAGGGACCTCCAGCAGAGTGACAGCCTCAGCTCTGTTCCTGTGAGCTGTGTGAAGAGGTGTGTGTCTCTTCACTCCAATCAACTCTCAGAACTCTCCTGTGGTTGAACACGTGTCTAAAATGCATGCCTGTGTGGAATACCCAGCTCTCCATCCACTTTTTATGGAACTCACAGACAAGCTGTAAATTCAGTACTTTGAGCAGATGTAGAGAAGAGAAGATTGCAGATAGACAGGTGCAACTTATGCAGGAGGATTTGTTTCATCTCTGTGTATCACATGAAGCACGTAACGTCACTAGGTATATGTGAGGGTTTATAACCACTTTACAGTTTGGTGCCCATTCTTGTATACATACCTTCTAGGTCACTTTCTGGAACCAATGGGGGAGGCCTGTTTGCTTTGGGAGCTATCATACCAACGTCACTGAGTTATTTAGGAACTTTCTTATGTTTGATTATTTGAACATGCATTGCATTTCCAGAAAAAAATTACAAATACCAGGTCAAGTCATGTTTTGCTTAAATCTGTGAAACATTCTTTGTGAAAATTTTAGAAAGAGAAGTGTCTGAAGAAATACATGTGGACAATGGGGGGGGGGGGGATGTTACAAGTTCAATGAAGATAGTTTTGAAGGTTGGATTTGAACCTAAGACCCAGAGCTACCACTGCAGTTAATACCCTCAACATGCAGTGTTGGGTCCTAGGTTAGAATCTCATCTTTCTTGCTTCAAGTCTGTAACCTTTAGCTTATTCAGAAAAATTTTTTGAGTTTTTTTGTCTTACTACTGAAGCCTATATTTGTTATGGACCTTCCATAGCTTTACTTTAAATATTAGTTTTGTTCTGTCCTTTATGATATAATGCATTTATCATAGTCTTGTTTGGCTTAAAACTCATGTTAGGGATGTCCCTGCTCTGGGATTACAGCATTCACATCGAGACTTTGATGTTGGCTTTATTTTTGCTGTTTTATTTCTTCTAAAATAGTAGTAGTTGTGTCTAGCTTCTACTTATTTATGAAATGTTGCCCTCATTGCATCAGTGTAAGCTCAGTTGTTTCATGATTTGCAGGATCACTGGGTATCTAAGCACCAAATAACACCTTCTAGGCTTGAAAAAGGAGGAAGATCTAATGGTAGACTGCCTATTGCCTTTATTATCTTAAGTGGCAGTTATATTTGTCTAGCATTTGTGTAAATTGTATTCTTACCAATGTAGTTATTTGCCACAATAATTCCTTATGTTCTGTATTATAGCTTTTTTCAGATACTTTCTAAATTTAAACATTTGTCTGTCTTCTGTTGTCCTGTTTTACACCCAATTCTGACAGCTTGTTGTCTGTCAGGGTCTTTACTTCATTATTTTTGGCTAGTTTGCACTTAGTCCACACCATAATGTATATTATAACATTCTCAGTACATGGCGTTCAGTGCTATGAGATCTGCACCACTAATTCTTAGTGTAATGCTCTCAGAATGGAGAACTAAGCTGTATCATAAGGCCTCTGTCATACTAACTTTTCCTATAACCCTTACCCTAATTGTCCCTTATATAAACTATATCCATGCTCAAGGATGCACCAAAGACCACCTGTTACTGCATTGAAAGATACTGATGCCACAGTTTTGGCAGCAGAAACTATTATGCTGAAATATCATGCTCTTTTTATTTTTTATAATGTTTCTTGTATTAAAACATGTACTGAAAAGACATGCATTTAACTGGCAGTAAGCTTTTTTCTGCTTTAATTTTGACATTTGGCATATTGAAATTCAACAATGTAAATTTTTTTGTATAATATAGGATAGCAAATTTTGATGGAAATCTCAAACATTACACATTTGACTTCATTCATCCTAATTGGATTTCCTAGTACTATGATACTTCAGAACTTGATATTTGCCATATTACTGTTGATATACCTGGCTACGCTAGCTGGCAACATTCTTATGATTGTTATCATAATTTCTGATTGCTATCTTCATACACCAATGTACATTCTTTTGGTTAATTTGTCAGTCATGGAGGTATGTGGGATATCTGCTGTGACACCAAAACTGCTGTCTATTTTAATAGGAGATGAGATAACTATTTCTTATTCTGGATGCCACATACAAACTTTGTTCTATTTTACCATCATTACTGCTGTTTTTCTAATGTTAGCTGTCATGTCTTTTGATCGCTATGTGGCCATATGTCACCCTCTCAGATATTCCACCATAATAAGACATGCTGTTTGCATGCAACTAGTGGGAATTTGTTTGACCTTATCTTTTGTATGTATTTTGTTTCCTGTTACACTGATATCCACCCTGACATACTGTAGACGTATCCTCAACCATTTCTTTTGTCACATTGGAGCCATGGTAGAACTACTCTGTGAAGATGTCGGTTTTATTAAACTTTACATACTTATCTTCTCTACTTTTATCTTAGTAATACCTTTAATAATAACCACACTATCCTATGTGTTTATTGTACACACTGTTGTGAGGATGCCATCAGATAAAGGTTGTATGAAAACCTTTTCTACATGTGCTTCTCATCTCACTATGGTGTCCATAGTCTATGGCTGCGCCATATTCATACAGATCAGACCATCCAGATACTATTCGATGGAAACTGACAAGTTTGTAAACCTTGTAAGCACTGTGCTGTCTCCTTTATTGAATCCTTTTATTTATACTTTAAGAAATCAGAAGGTTAAAGATTCAATAAGGAACGCACTATGGAAATTGAGTCTCATTAAAAATACTTAATAAAATATAAACAACACTATTGTTTATATTCTATTTTTGAACTCTGTCTCTTTTTCGTTCTAAGAAAACCGCATGGTCCTTTTTCCCTGGGATCTATAAACTCAAATAATTTCCTTTTAACATTGAGGTCTCACAGGGCTGGCTTTCAGCACTTATATTTCTGGTGTCCAGTGACTGAAGTACAGCCATTTAGGGGTTAAGTAATGTAGAGATTAGGCTATGGGTTAGGTTAAGGCAGTGTTTTCTCAACTCCAGTCCTCATGGACCCCCAACAGGTCATGTTTTCAGGATTTCCCTCAGATGAAACAGCTGTGGTAATTACTAAGGCAGTGAAACTGATCAAATCACCTGTGCAAAATAATGGAAATCCTGAAAACATGACCTGTTGGGGGTCCATGAGGACTGGAATTGAGAAACACTGGGTTAAGGTAAGGATTAACCACTTGTTGACTGCGCTATAGCTGACGCACCCGGCACTTTCTGTGATCGCTATGTCTGATCACTGATCACATGGTAAAGGGCCAATCACAGAGGCCTTCTACCATGTGATCAGCTGTGTCCAATCACAGCTGATCACCATGTAAACACACTTGCCGGTTATTGGCAGCACTTTCCTCACGCTATCATCGCGTGAGGAAAGTACCTCCGATAACCGGCAAGTATGAAAGGAGACATCTGCACTGATAACAACGCTGTTCAACACAATTTTTGTCACAGACCTGCTCTGACCTGTCACATATGTAATTTTCCCTCTTGTTTACAAATATGGTATCAGAATTTTTCTATCACCCATACTTCTGGAGTTATGCTCTAGTAAAGTTTGTACGTTACTGTAAATTAGCCATTACAGTTTTGTTTGGGTAGAAGCCGAATAAAGTATATCTACCTCCACTCCATATAAAGTAGGGTCTTATGAAGAACTTTGTAAAAGCGGTGGATAGACATGGACTTGGATTTGCATATCTAAGAAAGACCTTTCCAAGGATCAGTGAAGCGAAGATCAAAGAAGGGATCTTTGTAGAACCTGACATACAGTGGTGTATTTAGGTTTCGTGCTGCCCTAGGCAACACAAAAATCGTCTCCCCCCCCCCCCCCACGGAGAGACCCTGACACCGACCAACACCCCCCTACCCCACAAAGAGTGCCTTATATTAGGCAACAACATCCCACACGAGAAGAGAGCCTTCCACTACCACCACCCACCATACACTGGCAACCCTCCCCCACCCCGGCAGAGAGAGAAGACACTCTCCTTCACAGCTCCAGACATCCCTGGGAACAAGAGTTAGGCTATGCATACACCATCAAGCAGCCCACAGACTTTCTCAGATCCCACTTGGTCCCCATGCTGTGTGTCTCTTCTTCCATCCCTTCTTTAGGGGGGCGGTGCTGCCCCCCTGAAAAATGTTTGGGTAGAAGCCGAATAAAGTATATCTACCTCTACTCCATATAAAGTAGGGTCTTATGAAGAACTGTGTAAAAGCGGTGGATAGACATGGACTTGGATTTGCAAATCTAAGAAAGACCTTTCCAAGGATCAGTGAAGCAAAGATCAAAGAAGGGATCTTTGTAGAACCTGACATACAGTGGTGTATTTAGGTTTCGTGCTGCCCTAGGCAACACAAAAATTGTCTCCCCCCCCCCCCCACGGAGAGACCCTGACACCGACCAACACCCCCCTACCCCACGAAGAGTGCCAGATATTAGGCAACAACATCCCACATGAGAAGAGAGCCTTCCACTACCACCACCCACCATACACTGGCAACCCTCCCCCACCCCAGCGAGAGAGAAGACACTCACCTTCACAGCTCCAGACATCCCCAGGAACAAGAGTTAGGCTATGCATACACCATCAAGCAGCCCACAGACTCTCTCAGATCCCACCTGGTCCCCATGCTGTGTGTGTCTCTTCTTCCATCCCTTCTTTAGGTGGGCGGTGCTACCCCCCTGAAAAATGCCACTGCCCCCCTGAAAGATGCCGCCCTAGGCAAATGCCTTGTTTGCCTTGTGGTAAATACGCCCCTGATGACATAAGGAAACTGATGAAAGATGAAAACTTTGAGGGTCAGTTGATTGAAACTGAAAGGGGAGTCCTTTAAGACTGTTTGCCGCAACTTCTTGGGAAATAACAAGGCAGACAACTACACAGAATTAGTGGATACTCTACTGAAATCTTACCAGAAACTGGGATCTAACATGTCTTTGAAAATGCACTTCTTGGATTCACACCTGGATTTTTTCCCTGCAAATCTAGGAGCAGTCAGCAATGAACATGGGGAACAGTTTCATCAGGAGATTTCAGTAATGGAAAATAGGTACCAGGGCAAGTGTAGCTCCAGTATGCCTGCAGACTATTGTTGGACCATTAAGAGAGATGTTCCTGAGGCGCAACACAGCAGAAAATCATATACAAATACCTTTTAGAAGACTATGTTACAATATACACATATACGCATACTGTAAATATAAGCAACATAGTGTAAATTTCAACTGGATGTCACTCAAAACATTACCTTATGGAGAATTTCTAAGCAGATATCTGAGTTCACAACAAAAAACAGAACTAGAATACGCCCTGTTCATTTCTGTGACATAATTGAAACTAAGAATAACTTTTTTTTTTCAAACGTATTAGTTTTTTTTTTGTTTGTTTTGCAAAAAATAAAACACTCAGTGGTGATTAAATACAACCAAAAGAAAGCTCTGTTTGTGTGAAAAAAAATATAAAAATGATCTAGCCAGTGTAGTAATTAGAATGTTGAGACAAATAATTTTTCACTGACAGGGTGCTTACAATGATCAGCTTTTATTTAATAACGTAAAACCTTTATCCCAGAAGGAAAAAAAAACTGTTACTGTAATAGCATGTGTATATTAACAAGGTTAAACAATTAGGTGCAGGGGGCGGACTGACAACTCATGGGGCCCCCAGGCAATATGGGATCATGTGGCCCCTGTGTCCTCACCCACACTCAAACCACACCCAAAAAAGCCTATGAAAGGTACCAGGGGCATCTCATGGGGCCCCCTACTGACCCCGGGCCCTCGGGCAGTGCTCGAGTGCTTGAATGGTCAGTCCGCCCCTGATTAGGTGATAAATTCATTGTTAGGATTTTGGTCAAGCATTAATGTGGAACTATGAGCAAAATAAAAAATGATGACTATGATGCAGTCTGTCACTAGCATTAACAGAGCAGTTTTTGTTTATTGAATACCCCTGTAACATGAATTTTATGAATTGTGTAAAAAGTGCAAATAAATAAATACATACATACATACAACATACAACAAAATCAAAAAATTATACAGCAATATAACAAAAAAGAGGAAGCAGCACTCAGCTTGTGAGCTCTGAATACAAGATAATGAACCAAAGGTGAACAATATGTTGTGGTGCCCCTTTAAATCAACATATGTGAATTTCAGTGCATAATCATTTATCTCTCCATGCAGCAACTGCTGTAAATGTGTTCAAGAATCAGCACAAAAATAAGAATTGTGACAACAAAAAAGTCCATAATTTGTGTGTATACAGTGAAGAAATTCAGTGAAGAAATTCCTTTTTCTCCTTTTTTATTTTAATATGTATTTATATTTTTTGTATATTTTTCTGGTGTTGATGTTGGGATTGGGCTGCACCAGGGGTGGACTGACCATTTGGAAGTTCGGGCACTGCCCGAGGGCCCAGGGTACACAGGGGCCCCATGATCCCCTATTGCCCGGGGGTCCCATGAGTTGTCAGTCCGCCCCTGGGCTGCACAGAGCAGAAGCCAAACATATCTGCAACTCCTATGCTTTGCTAGCATACCCTTTTTATACATATTTATATATATATTTTTTTTTTCTATATCTTTGTACTGAGCATTGAAATCAGTAATAAACCCAACTCTTGGATTCTAATCTCACCTTTCTTCCTTTCTAATAAGGCATCTCTATTCCTAGATTCTAAAGAAACTGTAATTTAGATACTGATTTCTTGTCACCAACCGATTTGTTGATAAAAAGATTTATAGAGAAAGGATATGATGAAACCTTTTTAAACAAAGAAAAAGATGCTGTAGAATGCTGTAGAAGGTGAGAGTAAGAATCCAAGAGTTGGGTTTATTACTGGTTTCAATGCTCAGTACAAAGATATAAAAAAATTATTAAGAAACATTGGCCTAACTAATGAGGGATAAAGTGTTGAGGAATATTATTCCAAGTAAACTAAGCGTTATATATATAAAAAATAAATCTTTAAGAACAAGAATCATGCATAACATTATCGATCCACCTAAACGCATGAGCTTGTTTCCCGGTCTGGGAAGGATTCCATTATTGTAACAAATGGAAAGCATGTAAAAACACCTCTAAAAAGAGAAATAGGAAAATAAAAAATTTTAGGTCTTCTTCAACAAATCGAGAATATAAAATTAAATCATTGATATCTTGTGAATCCACACATGTGGTGTATATGCTGGAATGTCCTTGTCATTTTATAGTATGTTGGAAGAACAGTTAGAATTTTAAAAACAAGAATTGGAGAGCATATAAATAACATTAAGAAAGGGTTTGATAAACATAGTGTATCTAAACATTTTTAAACTGTATCATGATTGTAAACCCAGAATTGCTGACCTTTTGGGGTATTGATAAAATTGACCAACATCGGAGAGGGATGGATATGTTAAAAGAAGTTTCTAAAAAGGAAACGTTTTGGATATATAACCTAGATACTCTTAGACCACACGGGTTAAACATTGATATTGATCTCAATTGTTTCCTCACAGATTTCTAGATGTCATAATTTTTGGATTATTTGCCTATGTGTTAGGTTAGAGTTTTTCCTTAATACATTGGCCCTTTTAAAAGATTGTTAATAAAGTGTATGATACACTCCGTTTATAAAAAAAAACACATTTCTTCATAAATTTAGGCCAAAATGTATTCTGCTACTTGTCTTTGGTAAAATAAAAATATCAATAAGTGTACA